CCTTTTGCAATCTCCACATTAAAACTTACTAAACTATGTTACACTCATCCAGCATTCTGCATTGGCCCGACAGGCGAAAAAAGGATCCTACAAAGTGAGCAAATCCTTTCTTGTAGGACGTGCAATAGACATGAGAAAAGTGGGAAAGGCAGCATAGTTTCCTAAAACTCCACTCCTTATTCTGAGATAGACACCACGACCTATTTTTCCTGGAATCAGGCCAGAGCGGAGGAACGAGTCAGGCATCTCGTGCTAATACACAACGCACCTGAAGAAACTATAATTCTTGAAAAGTAAGGACGGAGCAGAAGTAGTTCCGTTAAAGGGGCAACGACAGGCATAAAGCTAGGGGGGCATGTACACAAACAAAGACAGGCTATGACTGGAGGCGCATTAAATAGATGCTGCTTTGCTCTCCCCCGCCGCCACAACGTTGTTTGTGCTTTTCAAATTGAAAAGCCCCAAGGAAAAGCTGCCACGAGCTTTCCTATTTTTGACAGATGGTTCAATGTACCTCGAAGTAATTCAGTACCACTGCCGAAGGTAACGGTTAAGAATGGGATGCTTAGGAAATCGGGGAGGGGTGTGTGTGTGGAGACGTTGGGGGAAAACTCTCTGATGTTTGCACCAGCTAGGCTAGCTGACATTGCCATGGGATTCCTTCCTTCCTGAAAAAGCAAAAAAAATAAATAAATAAATGAGGAAACAGTAAGTGCCTTATGTGGGAAAAAATTAGCATCGCCAAGTCGTAGTTCAGGTTCAGTTCCTGTTCATCGGGACATGCCTTTTTAACGGGCTGTTAATAACGCAAGCCGGAATAAAGCTGCGAGGTCGCTCTCCTAGAGAGTAACCCCATCCGAACAGTATGGGCTTGACTCCGGCGTCTACACGCCACGAGGAAGCGCGTCACTTAAGGTGCCACAACCGGGCTTCCCCTTTCCTCCCGCATGCGTTCACGTGTTCCGTCAGGTGGATGGCTCGAAGCCGGCCTTGAATGAGAGCCTGGGAGGGGAGAGAGAGAGAAAGCAGGAGAACCGCTCCGAAAACCGCCGCCAGGAAGGAGACCAGGAGAGCGCGACCGACTCGGCGGGACCACCGCGCGCCCCCCGTTTGGCGGGGACCCAGGAAAGGAGGCGAGGGAATAGCTCAGGCGGGCCGGAGCAGCGAGGCAGGGGGCGTGGCTCGTCGGCTTTTCGGCCCCGCCCTCGCCCCGCCCCTCCAGCTCCCAGGACCCGCCCCTGGACCGTGCAATAAGAGAGCAGGGAGGGGCGGCCCGCCTTTTCCCTTCTCTCTCTCTCGGCGGCGCAGCGTCGGGAGGTGCCGGGAAGCGGCCCGCAGGCCTCGCCGCCCTGGACCCGCAGGTAAGGCAGAAGAGAGAGAGAGAAAAAACAACCAACCACCACTGGGGGCTCCTGCTTGCGGCAACAGCGGCGGAGGAGTGCCTCACCACCGCCACCCCCCAGAGGATGGCCAGGGCAGGCGGTGCCCGCGGGGCCGCTGCCTGGCGCCCTTGCCGCTCTCCAGGGGCTGAGGACGGAATGGGCTCCGGCAGCTGCAGAGGCGGGCCCGCCACCGGCCAGGAGGAGGAAGAGGAGGAGGAGGCGCACCCCCGCCGGCCCGGCCTTCCTCCCTCTTGTTGTGGCCGGGCGAAGAAGGGCTTGTCCCTATGCGCCTGCCTGGCGGTTTGCAAAGGACGGGCGCGTCGCCCTCCGCGTCAGTGTGTGTGTGTGTGTGTCTGTGTGTGCGTAGAAGCGCGCAGCTTAGGCGGATAGGTCGCTCCTACGTACTACACGAAAGCTTGTTGCGGGCACGGGTAGCCGTGCCAACACGTACGTGCGTGTCACACGTGTGGCCCACACGTACGAATCTCTCTGCCGCTGCGATCGGGGATGGGGGGGGGAATCCAAGAATATTTGCATTCTGTTCCTCGAGTTGTGTGAATAGAAGTACGTACCTGTACAAAAAGGGTCCATTCTCGGGGTGTATGTGTGCATGTACAGTGAGTACTTGAATCTCTTTATAAAACATGCACGGGAGCTGCCCAGACGTTGGGAAGTGTTTAAGGCTGTTTTAAAGCGCATGCACTTGGTTGTAGGATGTGCAGAGAGTTGGCGTTTTCGTGTGCCTCTGGTAGTACTGATAATCGCAGAATATTGTGTTTTGCTGTCAGCCATAGGCACTTGGATGTTACGATGTCTATACATATTATTTAAGTAGAGAAAGCCATATTAAATGATCATATACATTATGCGAGTCTGGTACGATGTGAGCTTAATAGTGCTAATAATGTCTCTTGCTGTGCTTTCAGTTATATATGGTTTTTAATGACACTGTGAGTGCCCTTGGGCCCCAGGGTTGGGAAAGGCCGGGTATAGTGTAAACAAAGACATCATAAGCTCATATATGCGTATATACATGCAATCTAGAATGCCATAAAGCATTTGCTTCGGTTGAATCAATGGGACTTTTAATTCCTCTGAGGTGCAGTATGTCGCATATCATATGAAAGCAAATTGGTTCTTTCATATGGAATCAGGCCCCCATAGTTCATTAAATTATTTTATGGCGCCCCATTCCTTTAATTTCACAAACCCTTGCAGAAGGAAGCTGCCGAAAGATCGGAACCGAGCAAGTGACAAACCCTGCCTGTCCTTGTGCTGATTTTGTTTTAAGTAGCGAAGCAAGTAGCAAGCAGTCTGGAGAACCTGATAGTAATCGCCTGCGAGAGTGCCCTGTTCCTCTGCTCAGCCGCTTCTCTGACATCATTGAGCTAGAGTAGTGAAGCTGTGCCAGGGAGCGTAGTTTGTGTGCTCTGTGAGCAAGCGTCTGCCTACTCTCCTTGGTCCTGCTGCCTTGGCTCATTGTCCATAAAAGGAAGTAGCACTATGGAGAGCTCTTGGCAGCTCCTGATTCTGCTGCACAGTAAATTTGGGGGGGGGGGATTGAAGAGAACCAGTTTTCACCCTGTTTGCATATGGTCTACTTTTCCCTCCTTCCTTCAGAGGCTCTTGTGGGCTTCTCTGCTTAAAAGACTGGGTGATGAAAAGAAACCCTGTCAAATATATCGCACTCTAGCAGTAGCAGAAAAGAAAGTGGAGGTGATAGTTGGATTCTGAAAAAGGGGGAAATTAACACCTTCAATATAGCACACTGATGAGGAAACTGAAGATCACTTCAGCACCCTACCTCGCCCCAGATTATTCCATTATTGGATGTTGTCTTAATATTAATTTATGTACTGCCACCTTTTGTAACGCAGTATCCACACATGTTTATCAGTCCTAAAAATCCTTGGTTTTAAAGCTTTGCCAGTAAAATATTTTTGTCTATGGAGACATATGTTTTAGCTGCTTTTTAAGTGAAAAACCTTTCAAAGCAACCAGTAATTTTTGGAGACGTGGGCAGAAAAGTCTGTTCCAGTATATGTAACAAAACCAAAAGTACTGTGGTACCTTAAAGACAAACAGATTTCAAAAGATGTAAGCTAATATAGCTGAAAGACAGAAGTAATATTAGCATAAACATCTAGCCCAGGTAGAAAAACAAGATTTGATATATAAGTTTGACAAAAATGGCATTATTTTGCCATCAACATACTAACACTGTATCCTCCACCATGGCCTCCATGGATGCAGAATTTGCTGAACTCTCCTTATGTTCAGGTTCTCTTTACTGCCCTTGTTTCCATAAGTGACTTTCTAAAATACAAAAAGAAAATTGGAAGGCCTGTCTCTGGTGTTCTTGTGGAAAAGCTAGTATATTGTGCACTACAGATGATCTCACTTTGCATGGGAGAAAATGGGGCTTTGTACATATACAATAGGTGAGGATGCCAGACTGCAAAGCACAGTACGGTAATATGAAACATTAGCCCACTTCAGATATTTGCTAACAAACACAAGGAATACTTCTGAGAAAGCAACAACTACCTCTGTCAATTGGACTCAGGTGTATGATCAGCATCAGTCCGAAGGAGACCTTGGCTGTTTACAGATGACATCCAAGAACTCCTTCAACACACAGGAGAGCCATGGCCAGTCTGAGTTCTCATCATGATGCAGTGAGTCCTGTGCATGTACATGTGTAGGTCCCCTTCAAAATGATGCTGATTATCTGTATCACTGATCAGAGTGTGAGGTTAGCTGGAATGTTTTGGAAGCCCATTCACACATTCGGTATTACTCAGTACCAATAGATTGAAACAGAGTAACATTTGTGATTATTGTGATGGTAGTAGGTACGTGTGTACATTGTTGGAATTGAGTCATAATGCTTGAACAGAGAAGAGTACTGTACAAGTTTAGATGGAGTAGGCTTGTTTATTACAGATAAATATTTTGTTACATAGAATTTGTGTATGGCATGCCGTATGCAACAGTAATAGATACACTGTGTATACAAATGCACGCAGATCAGCTGGAAATGAGACACAGAAAAGTAGTTCTAAATTGCTCCTCCCACAAAACAGGAGAGTGTATTTGTTATTATGTAACTGCTGTCTGTCAGTAGGTCAGGCTGTAGCTGCCTACTACAAACATGATTTGCAAGTATCTGTTACTAGGGTGAGCAGTGACTTGGGATCAAGCCTGATTGATGTGATTTTGTTTTCACAATGGGCCAGCTTTATCACTAGCATAAGAAGAACAAGTGTTGTGTATATACCATGTGTGGCAAATAAGATACAAATAATGATAAGGAAAACAAGCAGGTGTATTCTGTATAGACCAAAATGGGGTAGGAAACTATAGACAAGTTTCTGTACGCCATGGAGATTTCTTCCGACATAATCTGGGGCTGTATAAACAAGGAATTCAGTAATCTTCCAGCTTCATGCTCTTGCTTGACTTGGTCTACTCATAAGTCACTGTGTCTCTTTACAACACTGTGGACCACTGATGATGAGAAGCTTGCATTTCTGAGTTTCAGGCTGTGTTCCATAGAATGGCACATTATCAGAGAGTCTGCTCTGAGAAAACTGAGAAAAGCAGAAAAGATGCTGCCTGTCCCATAGTGTCTTGGCACTTAAAAGGGCTGGCATTTATTTTAAAAACACACAATGAGGATTGCTGAATGCGTAGTTGCATCACTCTTGGATGCAACTGAAATGAAGCATTGTATAGCTGTATTTGTGTAAACTCATGGACCTGGACCTACGGCATTTGCTAAATGCATCTGGCTCTGTTCACTCGTGAACCTATTTCTTTCTCAGACTGGCACTTCCCTTTAAATCTGTTGGAAGGCAGCCCATAGTCAAGGGGTTTATCTTCAATTGTAGACACTAGGAAATGAAGGAAATGCTGTTGGGTTGTGTTGGTAGTGCCAAGGTGAGAACACTATCCATAATACTCTCTCTTTGACATCATACAGTGGTGCCCCGTATAACGAGGTTAATCCGTTCCGGATTACCCCTCGCTATACGGAATCATCGCTAAACGGGTAGGGGAAAGGTATTGGAACGCATTAAACATCGTTTAATGCGTTCCAATACCTTCGTTACTTACCCGTTCAGCGAGGATTCCAGGTGCCGGCAGCCATTTCCGGGCTTCCGGCGGCCATTTTGGAACCGTCGATCAGCTGTTCGGCGGCTCCAAAATGGCCGCCGCAATACCCGATCTTCGCAATGCGGGTTTTCCCCATTGCGAAGATCGGGTATGTTTCCGTATAGCGATCCCGAAAAAGGGATCGCTATACGGAAACATCGCTATACGGTGCACTCGTTAAGCGAGGCACCACTGTATTCCCTTTTTTGCCTAAAAATGTTTGCACAAGTGTATATGCATGCACATGTATTGTTTCTTTGCCATATACACTTGAACAAAACGTCACTCATTTTTTTCTTTTACATACAAACCCAGTTTTTCAAGAAGCACAAATGCCTGCCTTTTTTGTTTTGTTTTGTTTTTGCTTTACATCATGACTGTTTTGTTTTGAAGTGAGTCTACTAATTTCATGTAATAGGTTGAGTGCTTCTGACTATGTATCCAGCATACTACTTGTTTATGATCAGTAACTAAGAGCAGATCTTAGTGTTTGCATAAGTTGCAGCAGATGCCGGAGCATGTCTTGGTTGCCCAATTGCACAACTGAAATGTACTCCAGCACTTTCTCTCTTGGCAGCTGCAGGAAGTTACACAGAACTTGCATGAACACCAACAGGATGCAGAACCAGGCAAATGCCTGTGCACAAGGCAGCTTGTTTTGGGTTTGAAAAGGAAATGTTAATATCTCAAGTAAGTACAAATAAAACAGCCCTGAGAACAGTTAAAATGGCAGATTCAGTGTTACAGGACTCTAAACAGGTAAATAAAATCAAATAAAGATCTTAATGGAATGATAGAATAAGGCACAGAGGAGGATGGAT